GTTCTCCTGACTGAAGTTTGGTCCGTTTACAGCATCCTACCATGCAATTGCATTTGTTACCTAACCACCAGAAACCCTCACGTTAACTTTTATTGCGTGGAAAAAAGTTAGTGTTCATCTTTCAGCTTCACTGTGCTAATGTTATGCTAACGTAGATGTTTTGCTAGCGATCACATAGGAGATCATTATATACCAGCTAGTCCAACTTCAGTAACCCTACAAACGTCACTGCTGTTTAGTTTTCTGTCTTCATTTATGTATGAAGTGATAGCAGAGCTGTACGTTTTAATTTTTTCAGAAATCTTTCAGTCATAACATGGCATATCGTGTTTAGTTGGTAACTAGCGAGCTAACTTCCTGCTAACTTCTAACTTTAAATTTAATAAATTCTGTTTTCATGGATGCCTGGATGTTAAACTTAATTGTTACACCTGGTAAAGCAGCAACGCTGATCCTTTTATTAAAGGTGAAAGAATGTAGACAGTTTTTAACTTTCAGTGATGCCGCAGTGTTCGTTTTGACTTTGGGACCTGAAGTGGACGGCGTTTTGGACCCAGATTAGTGCGCAGGGCTCCTGACTACGGCAGCCGTAATGCTCCGGCAATCCATCAAGCGGTGCGCCTTCATAGCTTACCAGCCCAAGCTGGAGGACGCTTCAAAGTGCAGTTTTATGTCTTGGTATCACATGTATGACATACATTTATAATTGGGACATTAGGCCTGCACAATAAATCGAAAATTTATTGTCATCGCGATATCAGCCTGTGCGATGGGCCCATCGCAAAAGACGGCGTAAACTGCGATAATTGGGTACCTTAAAATGTTTACACACGTGCTTTAAAGAATTTACCAATCAAAGAAACCCCTTTATACATTTGACCAGTCGAATAGAGCCCTTCACGGCATTAACCAATCAAATGGATTAGAGGCCCACCTCCTACGTAGGTGGGGAGCGAACAACGCTGCAGCAACGAGTCAAAGTTGTAATGGCTGAGAGCGAGACGCATGACGAAAGCGCTACTGACTTATGAACTTGTGGCTAAAAAAAATAGTACCTCGCTTATTTGGAGGTACTTTGGATTTAATAAACACGACCTTCTCCAAACACAGATACTCTGCAAAACTTGCCGAACACTCGTGGCAACCACCAGAGGAAACACAACTAATCTCCACCATCATCTTCAATACAACCACAGAGAACTGTTTGAAGAGTTCTAGAAAGACAGGGCTAGCCAAACAAAGGTTGTTAATGTTAAGACAAAGGGCGCAGCAGTCCAACAGCCGTCTCTGTATCAGAGTTTTTCAAGTGGAACTCCTAATGAGAAAACGTCGAAGCGCTACAAAGAAATAACAGAGGCCATTACACATTTTTTGGCTAAAGACGTGATGCCTATAAATACAGTTAGCAGGGAGGGCTTCACCAGTTCGCCATTCCACAAATGTACAAAACATGCCGCAAGACCGTCATGTTTGAACTAAGCCAAGCCTGAAAACTACGCAGGCACTACAGATATATTTGGTCAAGTCGTACAACGGAACCATATATGAGTTTCACAGTGCACTTCCTCACCGAAGACTTTGAACTGAAAACACGGTATCTAGAGACTGTGTATTTTCCAGACATAACTACTTGGTGAGTGGTAAAATGATGAACAACTGCACTGAGATAATTTGCAGTATAATTTAAGTTATGTTTATTTAAAACTAATTATAGAGATCGGGAAGGATGTCTTTCAGAATTCAAGCCTCAGAAAATCTTTTATGGGGGCAATGTTTCATGCATATGCTGCTTTTTTGCAAATTTGCATTATAATATTTATTTTCGTTTTTCCTACAGTGTATAGAAATTGGTGTATTTCAAAAATAAAACTATGAAGACACTCAAAATAAATTTCCTGTGGTGGGAAACTATTTTGTGCAACTTTTTTGTATTTGCAGTTTTGAGGGATAAGCCTCTTTTCTCTAACTAGAAATATATGTTAAAAAAACAAAAACAATTTTCAATTTTGTTGTAGTTTATTGCACTTTTTTGCAATTTATTTAATTACTATGCACTTAATGCAGACATATTATTAAAATTAGGTCTATAATGGTTGTATTGATGTATATCAACTTGAAATGCTCCCAAAAATGGCTCCACAGCATGTAAAAATATAATATAAGCTCTGGCGGACTTGGTTCTATGGTAGGTCTTAAAGGGTTAAATAAAACTGTTGCAGTAAAACGGAAATTATGTATTTATTTATTTTTTTTGCTATTTATTTTATCATGACTTATACATCAAGTCATATCGTTATTGCAATATTGATCACAGTTATTGCACATCGCAGGTAATCCACCTGTTGATGTCATGTTCTCTCTCAGGGTTTGGCCAAAGCTATTTGACTAATTAATCACTTCTGTTTGTTTACTAGCTCCTTTAACCTTGAACTGAAACAGGCTAGCGTATGTTATCTTAAATAATTGTTGTTTTTTCTTTTTGCATTTATAGCGTTAAAAAGGTGTACACTTTGCCAGTATTTTAATAGCCACTCTTTGGTTGTAAGTATTGCAAACAAATTGCATTGCCATCAGAATGATAGCTTGATTAATGTACAGCAGAAAGACAGTGGAGCTAGTAATACAGGAGTGTGAGCCCAAATCAGGTTTCTTTGATCATTAATTTTCTGTTCCAATCATTTTTTGTCAGCTTTCCCACCTTGCCCCTGGTGGCCCCTCCCCCCATCCTCAGGCAAAACCCCCCCCAACCCTATTCCCTTGTGGGATCGACCCCCTCACCCCTACCTCCCCCCCCATCCCCTCTTCCTCCCCCCCAGCCTCCATCCCTCTGGCTGTCATCCGCTGCAGTAAGATTTCCCCATCATATCCGCCAAGCTGTCGGACATGTCAGGACCCGTGCCAAGCCGGGCCCGAGTGTACACAGAGGTCAACACTCACCGGCCAAGGGAGTACTGGGACTACGAGTCCCATGTGGTTGAATGGGGGTAAATATTTTGACTTCTAGACAAATTTACACATGCTAGTTGAGAAATGTTCGTAACTGATATTTGGTTGCAAAATTACTGTATTTTACAGAAACCAGGATGATTTTCAGTTAGTGCGGAAGTTGGGACGTGGCAAGTACAGTGAAGTCTTTGAGGCAATCAACATCACCAATAACGAGAAGGTTGTGGTGAAGATACTCAAGGTAAAGCTGTACAAAGGCTTACTTTTATACCTCATGAAGTCATTATGCATCCTAACTCTTTTTCTTCGTTTATCCTTTAGCCTGTAAAGAAAAAGAAAATAAAACGTGAAATTAAGATTCTGGAGAACCTGCGTGGAGGTCCTAACATAATCTCTCTAATCGATATAGTGAAAGACCCTGTAGTAAGTATCATAGTTATTAATGAAGAACATTTAAGGTCTTGTTCACAAGTACAGCGGAAATTATATTTTATTTGCGTTTTCTTTTTTCTGATTACATAATGTGTTATTCAGAAAAAAGATGCATTAAATATTGGGATGGTGTCATTGTACCAATAGCACATTGAACCTACCACTTGTGCCAGCTTATTGGTTACACTTGGGAAATTTGTGTCTGTAAGTACTTAAATAACCACGGCTAGATAGATACA